GCAGTTTTCACTCCTTGCACGAGACGTCTTGCAGCTGAGTATTTTGAGTTCCACTGATCTGTCCATTTTAACGGGGGCAACTTCGGTGGACGAATGTTACACTCAGCTATAAGCCTTCAAAGATCAGGGATACCAAAACGTACGGCGTATTGAACCGAATAATTACTCATTTAAATTCAGAACTGCGCTACAGAAGAGAATGTAACAACACCGACAACAGAGGTGAGTTTCCGTGTTCAACCTGACACTTCATCCCGGAACGTGTTTGGTACTTTTATAACACAGGTTTTTTTTTGTTCTGTTTCTTTTGTTTCAGGTCCCCGCTCACATCCTGTGCCTCACCGTGGCGAGCGGGTGAAACAAAGAACGGTGCACACCCGTACTTGAAGTCATTGTTACTGTGACTGCAAAATCCTTGCTTTTTGTTGAAACTGTAGTTCACTTGTATGGTTACAATTCCAGGGGCGCACAAACTGTCTCGCTTCTAGACGTTTTCGTCACGTTTCGTAAGAAGGCGCAACCCGCCTGTTAGTTTCCCCGTGTTCGTCTGTCCGAACTGTACAGGTCCCAGCAAAATTCGGCGTTATGTCGTTTACGGAAATATATTTATTGATATTAATTTAAATCCTATTTGAATTATAAAAGAATGCACTGTTTGTGCTACCCGGTATTTACGGAGTTTTTATTTAGCGTCGGTGTCTGTGCAAAGCGCAGAACTTTGAGATGACTGGCAGACAGTGAACAGGAGGGGTTATGGAAGGATAAGAGTCGAGACCTCATTTGAGGGAGTGTACGTGCATTTTCCTGGGATGTGGGCAGGAAAGCCCCTGAATACTCAATCAGGATACGGCCCCTGGTCCGAGATTTTATCCTGAGTCTCCCTAAACACGAAGCAGTGGTGCCAACTGTGCCATTCTCTTTTTCAGTATACGCTACTCATATCAGAATTCTTAAGGCAGATCGTGAATGTTTCATTTGGACGTGATGACGTCATGTTCAGAATAACGGCACGGCTGAGGAAAGGCAAGTGTTAAGACGGAGCCCAGTCACTGTGTAATGTTAAGAAAAACTTAAAGCTATCCCTGTAACAGGGCGTCGAGGCCCATAGGGCTGTGAAACGTCTAGGCTCCCACTTTTTCTAGACAAATGGGTCACAGATGGAGGTGAGGTTTGTCAGCCTTACGCACCGGCCACTCTTTACTCCCAGGAAGATTCCTGGTACTCATTATTGCTGGAGGATGAGTCCACCCCAGGGTCATAGTGCTGCCGGAAAGATTAGGTCAATTAGAAATCGAATGACCTTATCTGGAATCGAACCCGCGACCTTTCGGCTCGAAACATGGTGCCTTAACCAACTACGCCCCCCCCCCTCCACTGGGTAATTTTATTGTGTTAATTGTTTTCTCCAAATAGCCGAGTTTTTGCGAGTATTGTGTAACAGATGGTGACTTTGTTTCCTCGATCGCTGTGCATGTCATTCAAGACATCTTCATTTCCGGTACATCATTCCGAAGTGAGGGCCTAAGAAGAAACGGAAGTGAGAGACAGTTTTACACGATAATACTCCGCGGTACGACTGTTACTCTCCATGTTCACAAACATTGTGCCGAACATGTAGGTACCAATCTGCACCGTAAGCAGTGTGATGTCCAAAATGGAAATGTCTTGGCATGATTGTGCGCAGTTCCATCACAGCGATATTGTAGCTGTAGCGTCCAGAGATTGCGAGCCCAGTTTCTTGCGGACAGACGGACGGACATGATGAAACTAACAGATGGTATTGAAACTCAGAAAACATGGCGTGTTATTGTTGCTCTATGTCAGTTGTGCTCTGCATTGCCTATGATGAGTGTCAGGTGTCCATGTTTGTGACGTACAGAAGGAGAATTTCGCAAGAGGGGGCCCGAAATATGCTAAAAGCAGAAGTGTTGTGACTGTGAAGTGTAAGCATATAATGTGCATGGAATTTCTGTTTCCAGCTATACTCGTATGTCCAAAATTCGAATTCCTCATTTAGGCGAGTGCATCGTTCTTTGGCCAAACAGGATAATCTTAGTGAAATGGTAATCCGAAACCAATTCATGCGAACTGCCTTCCTCGAACATTGAATATTTAGGCTTTCCCCGTTACAGAACCCAACGACTCCTTGCTAGTCACGAGATCCTGCCATTACATCCTGAATCACATTCAGCAATATTAAATTAATTAACCGTTTAATGACTGCATTTCATAGTCAATTATTTAAGGACTGGCGATTTATCGCCCATCAATTTGTACTGGCGCCAAACCCCGTGAGAATTACGACCAGAGAGTTCTTTTTTTTTTTCAGCTGAACGCTTAAGGCCATATTCTCTGAGGAGAGGATGGGGTTTTCTGGTATAAATAGGCTTGACCTTTGTCAAGTGTCCGTACCGCACATGTGGCATATGTCTGCCTGGTTATGGGGAATGCCTTTCCTAACTGTAGCTGCAGTTCAGCATTTTATACCCCGAAAATGGGCAGTTTGATAGAAGTGACAATTTGGAATGAAGACCCTCCCTCATTGGATTCGAAATGTGTCCCTGAAACCAGAGCCACGTCCGTATGTAAGTCTTGCAGCTGCTTTCTGAGCTCATAGCTCTGCCTCCAAATGTCTTTTTGCATTGAGCGGCCTGTGAACTCTAGCAGCCGTTTTGTCATTAAATAACGTTTTTGTAACGACCATTCTACAAAATTATAATCAGAAAATCTGGTGGGAAGCAACCAATATTCTGTTACCAAAGCACCAAAATATTTAGACATTGTGACCCCTCAGAAACATTTCTGTTAGCATTCGGATCATCTCTGACTTTGGGTTAATTCTTCATAAGCCTTTGACATTGTTACATAACATTTTAATAGGTTTTGGGACCTCCAGCATTTTTATTCACATAATGGAAGCTACAGACTAGAAGTGTTTGGAGCCACCAATGTGTCGCATGTTATCATCAAGAGGATCTGTGTTTGAAATGTGGTGATCTAGAGAAACTGGTGCAGAATCTCTTCATGATTCATTCCAGCAAACACTTTTTTTTATTGCTAGTGGGGTGGGACTAAGTCCCTTATACTGCGGCCACTTCTGGCCTATTGTACCAGACCCAGATGATAGGTGAGGGTGATTGTGGAGAAATTGGTGGAATGAAGATTGGCAGGGGAAACCGAAGTACTCTGAGAAAACCTGCCTCAGAGCCACTTTGTCCACCACAAATCCCATTTGTCCAGACCCGGAATCGAACCCGGGAAGCCAGCTACTAACCGTTTGAGCTATGGCGCAGCCCAAAACACACTTCCTTATTCATATTCATTTGTCTTAATGGTTGATATAGAATTTCTGTATTATATGATTTTTTGTTATTTCCCACAGCAATGGAGGTCTTGGCTGTGCTTCTGGTGACTGCTGTCACAGTTGCTGCATTTCTCTTTGTGTTCTGTCGAGACCCGAAGAGAGCTCGCTTTGTGCACCTCATGGAGAAGCTGCCTGGCCCCTTTGCATACCCTGTATTTGGTACCGTGCTGCCATTCTTGTTTCTTTCACGGCCCCGTGAGTACAGCCTGCTTAGTCCATTACACTACTACACATTACTTTAATGTCTATATCTGTTTTAATATTTATTTATTTGAATATTTGATTTTGATCTGGGTTTCTTATATTTTGTGCATAAATCTTAATGTTTATCCCATTTGGAAAGAACCAGTCTTGATGCTGTGTAGTCTCGGTACTGAGTGTGTTGTTAAATAACAACCCCTCCACCCAAAGAAGTAAAGGAAGGAATGATCATTTGTTAATTTTACTTAGATAATTATTTCAGTTCTGTCCTGAAGATGGAGGTTTCAGAGTCCTTCAAAACTTTAGCAAATATTATGAGATTATATGGCATAATAACCTGTAAACTACAATTGAATTTTCATTAGTTAACACTGTGGATATCCTAACTCCCACTTACATTTTATGCTTTATCTGACACATGAGTTTAAGTGATGTAAATGTATAATTTCACATGTCCATGAGCAGCATGCTGTCAAGGTATGTGGGGCAGGGGGTGGGTTGTTAGGTTGAGATCTCAGCATGAAGCGAAGGTGAGTAGTAGCATAAAATTCAGGTTAAGGATGAGCTATATCTCCACTCCCCCTCTACACCTTTCTGGTGTAGTGTTTATATGAAGTGACAATTTTACCTCATGGAGTTTTTGATATGAACAGATCTGGAGTTACATCTCATTAGCTCAAGCTGTTTCCCACCTCAGCGGCCCGGGTTCGATTCCGGGTCTGGTCAAATTGGATTTGTGGTGGACAAAGTGGCATTGGTGTAGGTTTTCTCCGAGTATTTTGGTTTCCCCTGCCAATCTTCATTCCACCAATTGCTCCACAGTCGCCCTCACCTATCATCTGGGGCTGGTACAATAGGCCAGAAGTGGCCGCAGTACAAGGGACTTAGTCCCACCCTACTAGCAATAAAAAATATGTCTTATTAAATATAGTAGTATGAACTGAACCTAAGGCAGGGAGTTATGTGTGTTGACAGAGAGATTCAAACTGTTGGAGCAGCGAATCAGGACGTACCAGCCACTCTGCCGTTCATGGCTTGGGTCCAAAGCCATAGTTAATGTTACACATCCAGAACATGCCCAGGTAAGTGACTACCTCTGAGCCTCCTGAATGTTACGGGGAATTTCCCCATGTAAATATGAGTGTATCCCCTCACATGTATATAATATGAGTACAATATTAAACTGGACCATAGACACACACATAAATATCAGTCTATGGACTGCATGAGACTCACACATAGGATCACGTTTTGGACTTCTGTGAATATTATGATGCCTCATGGAAGCAAGGAATTTGTTTACTGGCCAAGAAGACCCTGTAACATGAATTCAGTGAAGAAGTTTTGTTTGAAATGTTTTCTTGATCATTAACATATGCGTGCACCCATGTTTTTCAGTTATGGAAGTTTGCTTTATAGGCATTATGAAACATCATGAAATTCATAATGTGGGCCCTAAATCTGCAATAAATGTGAAACATTTTGAATGGAAAATGTGACTCAAATTTAGACAGAACTGCATGCTTTTAAGAAACAGTTATTTGTTAGGATATTGAGATTGCATGTATCAGTGCGATGTGTAGCCCAGAACTGCCAGATTTTGAGCATCTCTTGGTGACATAGGCGGGAGGGTGACTGGTAGAGTGGTTGCAGTTCTCATCTTATTTTGGATTGTGCAGAACATCACCCTTGATATTAGGTGCGTCCCTTGTCACGACGGCATGTTATGTTCTCAATGGAAGAGACGGTCTCCAGATATGGAGACTAGCTGCGAATACATTGAATAAGCAGTTGTGGACGGCCAACAAGGGTGGTCTTCCAGTTTGGGGGTTGGGCACAACTTCTCACTGTAAAAAATAAGCTTGTTATGAAACGTCACCAAAGGTCTTGGATTTGGATTCTTTGGATAGGGACCAGTAAAGGGCTCTTGTGAACCAGGTAGTGAACCCTTGGGTTCCATAAAATGTGGGGTAGTTCTTGAGTAGCTGTAGAGATGGCAGCTTCTCAGGAAGGGCTCTGTTCCATGAAATTAGTTTGAAAGAGTGCTACCCTTGTTGAAGTTATCTGGTAAGAGGCAATCATTTGTAGTTAAAATTTTATAGTTTATTTCTGTGTATATACTCGTATGTAATGGATAAAAATGTGTGTTCTTTTTATGCTTGTGGTCTGAAAGTACTTAAATAGGCATGCATCTCCACTTGTAATGTGGGAGTCAGTGGAAAAGTAGAGTTCACATTAATAGAATTTCATGATACAGTTTCAAGGGCATGTCCCTTGTGTAGTCCTGGGGAATATTATCCCCATAAGAACATTTCATTTTACTTCTTCAGCCTTATACGTATAGCGTCTTTTGTTTCAGGTACTATTAAACACCATCAGGCATATGGAGAAATCATTCACTTACAAGTTCCTGCACCCTTGGCTGGGAACTGGGCTGCTGACAGCATCAGGTAACATGCCTCTTGTGGATACTGGTAACCACTTGCTCTGAGTGGTTATACTCGTACTTAATTCAATTCAGTTCAATTATACTTAAGAGTTCACTGTTGGAGTTCCTCAGTTGAAATTTGGAATACTTTACAGTTTTATTAGTTCATTTTTGGGGAAGAATTAGTTGTGAAATAAATGTATTCTTTTCATATTCAGTGGGACCACTTCACAGGAAAGCTTTATATATTAATGTCAAACTGCAGCTTTTGGTATGTCAAATATAGGTTATGTCTTCCAGGAGAGTGAATAACATGGAGCTCTTTCACATCCATGTATGAGGAAATAATATTGACTTCTTCTTTGACAAGATAACAGTCATATTGCAAGATCTGCAGGTACTGAGAGCAACAAAATACAGAAAAGTGTGGGGTTTGTGTGTGTCTGAGGCTGGATTTGAATTCTCTATATGCAGTTTTACTTTGGGGGCTGTCAGTAGCTAGACTATATAGCACTGAATTGTAGGATGATTGGTGAATAAAGAACTGGAAAGGGTTTGGAAAGAAGCTGTCTTGGTCAGGTTGATGTATAATCCAGGAATTTGCCTGGAGGAACCAAGTAAAAGCATGATAAACCTTAGAATGACCACTGTTGTAGTTGAAATTTTATGTGAATATTTTCTGAATTTGAGCTAGGAGTGTTACCACTTGCGTGCACTGCCAGGATTTTTTGCCAGTTGGGCGAGGAAAGTAGTCCAACTGGGAAAGTCAGAAAATTTGCTTAAAAACTTGTTATTTCATATGGTGCTTACTGATTGCCCTAATGTATTTGGGATAGAAGAATGATTTTTAAATATTTTAATTGTTGTTATTAATATTTGGCATAATTCCATTTCTTCGACTTAGTTTATTAATACGGGAAGGAGAGGCAGATGCCAGCCCCCTGCTCATGCCTGTGTTACCACTTCCACTACCCATGCAGTAGTTGCAGGGTTGTGTAGACTGTTATACAAAACCCCTCTCATAGTGATTTAATGCTCTTTTTTGTAACAGCACAGAAACTATCTTGACACGCTTTAGTATACATCTTTGGTGACAAATTCCAGTGAAACTTCATGAGATGTCTTAGAAAAGAAACATGAGGATATACGGACTCAATCTTTTAATTATGTAAGTTTTGAGGTTTTTGCGGCGGTGACTATGAAGAAAGCAGTCTTCTGGGATGTGGCGCATTCATTTATTCATTTCCTTTATTTTCCATATATCCATACTTACTTACTTACTTACTTACTTACTTACTAACTTACTCACTTACTTACTTACTTACTTACTTACTCACTCACTCATGGAGCTGAGCCCTTCTGGAGGAGCCGCCAATTCTGCAGCTACTCAAGAATTTCCCAGCATTTTATGGAACCCGAAGGTTCATTACCGTGTTCGCAAGAGCCCTCCACTGGTCCCTATCCTGAGCCAGATCTAACCAGTCCATACCATCCCATCCTATCTCTAAGATCCATTCTAATATTGTCCACCCACCTATGCATTGATCTTCCTTGTGGTCTCTTTCCTTCTGGCTTTCCCACCAATATCCTACACGCATTCCTCGTCTCCCCAATTTGTGCTACATCACATGCCCACCTCATCCTTCTTGACTTGATCATTCTAATTATACTTGGAGAAGAGTACAAGTTATGAAGCTCCTCATTATGCAATTTTCTCCAACCCCCTGTCATTTCATCTCTCTTCGGTCCAAATATTCTCCTCAACACCCTGTTCTCAAACACCCTCAGTCTGTGTTCCTCCCTTAATGTCAGAGACAAAGTTTCACATCCATACAGAACCACAGACAGAATTATAGTTTTGTATATTCTCATTTTTATGTTTTTGGACAACAGACGAGAAGACAAAAGGTTCACAGGTAAAAAACCTAGGATGTGGAAATAGCCCCTTTGATAATAGATGTGTCCAGATACCTATAATAAATTACATGAGTTACATAATTAAAATTACATACATTAGTTAGTTAACATAGATAATAAAATAAAAAACTTGTTACAATTATAATTAATAAACATAATTTAAAAAGAACATTACTATAAAAACGTAAAATTAATACAGTTTCATTTAAGTTACCCAAGTTGACCGAATTAAATGCATTACAAATTTACACACTTATGACCAATTATCTTTCCTTCTTTCTTTCTTTCTTTCTTTCTTTATTTCATTTTCCCATCAATCAGAACACATTGATACAGGACTCGTAATATCTCAATGCTGTCAGCAAAAAACATATACAGGCAATTCTACAGGTAAACAATACATATAAATCATGCTTATCAAAACGAAAAGCTGCATAAGAATCAAGACGAAAGATTACATCAACCAGCCAAAAAACTGTATCAGATCAGCAGTCAGATTATAAATTATTTGTAAGAAGCAAGGTTCTCCATTCTCCAATCTAGATATTCCCGCAATGAGTAAAAGGAGCCAATATGGAGACTTTTTTTAAGCCGTGTTTAAACTTATCAACATCATTTGTCATGTTCTTAAGAGTCTGTGGTAAATTATTAAATATCATGATCCCGGAACCTTTTTATAAGTCGAATGATGTAAATCCGCCATGTAGATATTGTGTTAACTGACGCTTCGGAGGAACATATCATCTCCATCTTCAGGGTAGAAGAAAAAACAAGGAAATCCACCTGCTCACGGTGGTTCTTCGCTTGTGGATTTTCTTCTTACATCCCAGATGACTGCTTTCTTTTTAATTATGTGTTCATTTCATCAATTGATGAATATTAGGGAGTGTTTCCACAGTGATAAAGTGGCCAGAGCCTGAAACTAACGTTTTGCCTCATAAAAGGTTATGCAGGAGCGAATGCATACCTCCAGCCAAGCATACATCTTAATGGTGTGGCCAGGGATGTTAGGGAGTGGCAGGTGCTGACCATGTCATGCTCTTGGCCTCATTTATAAAGAGAGGCCACAGAATATGACACCAATTCCAAATTTAAACTTAAAGAACAGGCGATATTAAAGAAATATACTCTGAAGATGATCTTTGTATATTATTTGGAATTCATTGCAACATAATCTGCAAACTTTTCAGCTATATTCTCGAGGTATTTGGAAATAGTTTTGAAGATTTAAACACATGGGACCTATGCTTGTACAGTGAGGCTCCCAATGATCAAGGTGCCTTGGGCAGCTGCCCACTTTGCGTATTGGATAAAGTGGCGCTGAGCATGAGGCATTAATTAAGCATAGGGATAAATGTACTTCATTTCTTACCAGCTTTGTATTTCACATTTCATAAAGGTTGTACATGTTTGTCATGAATTATTGTCATATAATTATATCATCTTTCTTTATGATCAGGTCAGAAGTGGCACACACACAGGAAGATCATTACACCAACCTTCCACTACAGTATTCTAGACAGCTTTGTAGACGTGTTCTCTGAGAAGAGCAAAATTCTAGTGAGCAAATTGCGGAAGGAGGTCGGATCTGAGGGCTTCGATGTATATCCATATATCACTCGTTGTGCCTTGGACATCATTTGTGGTGAGCTTATGGCATAGGCCATAATTGTTGGGTCCCATGCGCAAAGTTTAAGCTAGTCACCAATAAAACTAAAGCTTGCTGTTTCACAGAGAAGATGGTTAACTCACAGAACATTACTATTTCCGGAGAAGAAACAACTTCAGATATAGAAGCAGTAACATATTTAACTTATGTTGTTGTGTCACCGAACAGAACCTAGGTTTTATTTTCTCCTAATAAGGAGAATTTTGTGATGCACGTTTACCAATTTATGGATTTAATTATTTTATGTAACAACAGAGTATATACAGCAAAGTGAAGATATAGATCCATGTATTCTTAATCTAGACACTAGTTGGAGCTTCATCTTCACGCCCCGGCCGTTGTACCCCTAGGAAAAGAGTCCTTGGTACCCATTGGATAGGAGGCTGGGTGTCCCCCAGATACCTGCATTAAAACCACCACAGCGAAAGAGATCAGCTCATTGTTAATCAGTTAATGCAGCATATTTATAGAGGAGAGAATGGACTTCAGAATGAAATATATCTCTTACTGTTTGAAGGTCATTTGAGGAAAGGATTGTACGGCCTTTTGTGCAGTTGCCTTTATTCCAAGCAGCCATATAGTGCCGTGGTGGGGCTTGATATTTAAAAGGTTAATTACAGACGACTCATCACCTTTGTACTCTCCATGTTACACCCCTGTGGCGAGAATCTCTGGCACTTATTGAAGTGGAAGCTCAGTGTGTCCCTGAATATTGTTGCAATGAAGAGAGAGAGAGAGAGCTGCTTCTGTTGGGAATTTTATAAAAGTTTACACCCTTTTGGTCCATTTACTCAATTTCGAAATGGCATATGAGTACTCACACTGCTAACTTATTGTGAGATATTTATTAACAAGCATGACTCTGTGACAGAGTGAAAGGCAAAGAGCTTACCCAGGGTAGGCTTGTCTTGTCTAGCATGTGCGATGGAGTAACCTCAGATATATTCATGTTGGGAGTATAGTGACTAGGCTACATGCTGGATCACAGAGGAATTGAGATTCATTTCCTAGCAAGGGTTGCAATCTGCAGCATCTAGACTGGCCCTGAAGCTCACCCAGGGATACAAAGTTATCTTTCCCTCAGGAGGCAGAGCATCCAGGGCATGAAGCCAACTGCACACCTCCATCTGGCGTCGAGGTTAAGAAATTGTGGATCTACACCATCGTTCCCCTATATAAATTTATTGTGATATTCTTAATTAAGTGTAAGGACAACTTTATATCTGCCTAGGTCTCCATGTACTTCTGAATGTAACAAAGGACAGTTTGTGCTTCTGAAAGATGATGTATGCTGGTCAGAGCTTGAACTCCACTGTCTCTGAGATGAATAATCTGGTGGTGTTGTGTGTTGCAGAGACTGCAATGGGGACCCCAGTTCACGCTCAGGAAGATCTGGAGTCCACGTATGTCTCCGCTGTGTATGGGTGAGTGAGCAACATGTCTCAACAAATGTCATGCTGTTATAACTGCTGCACATCAGTCTGCATACCGTCATGTAATGTTGAAGCGTTCTGTTTTCTGGGAACGTCCTGTGAAAGTCAACCAGCATCTTGGAGGAACATAGTGTGCTCATTCATTCATTCATTCATTTTCTTTATTTTCCATATATCCATAGAGGTTAAAGACCTAGGATGTGGAAATAGTCTCTTTGATAATAGATGTGTCCACATACATATAATAAATTACATGAGTTACATAATTATCACATACATTAGTCAGTTAACATAAATAATAAAATAAAAAACTTGTTACAGTTATAATTAATAAACACAATTTAAAAAGAACATTACTATAAAAACTAAAAATTAATACAATTTCATTTGAATTACCCAAATTAACTGAATTAAATGCATTACAAATTTACACACTTATGACCAATTATCTTTCCTTCTTTCTTTATTTATTTCATTTTCCCATCAATCAAAATACATTGATACAGGACTCGTAATATCTCAATGCTGTCAGCAAAAAACATATACAGGCAATCCTACAGGTAAACAATACATACAGATCATACTTACCAGAACGAAAAGCTGCATAAAAATCAAGACGAAAGATTACATCAACCACGCAAGAAACTATCAGATCAGCAGTCAGATTATAAATTATTTGTAAGAAGCAAGGTTCTCCATTCTCCAATCTAGATATTCCCGCAATGAGTAAAAGGAGCCAATATGGAGACTTTTTTTAAGCCGTGTTTAAACTTATCAACATCATTTGTCATGTTCTTAAGAGTCTGTGGTAAATTATTAAATATCATGATCCCGGAACAGTAAGATACCTTTTTGGACTTAGTTAATTTATAAGTTGAATGATGTAAATCCGAACTTTCTCTGGTATGGATACTATGTATATCAGAATTTAGTGTGAAGGTATCCATATTTTTAACAACAAACATGGATATTGAAAACATATATTGTGAGTAAAACGGAAGAATATTTAGCTACCTAAATAATTGATGACAAGAGTCCGTTTTTCTAGCTTTCATAATGACTCTGTTCTTTTTTGAATTTTAAAATTAAATTACTGTTGGCAGAATTGCCCCAAAATATAATTCCATAGGACATAATGAATGTACATAGGCATAATAGGTCATCAGTGTTGAATTTCCTTGTGTCTTGCTTATGTGTGACTTAACAGCCATATTGGATGAGAAGAACTTTTATTATAATACAAAACAAAAACGAATATAAATCACTATTACCAACTTGAACATTTTTACATTACTAGATTCTCAACAGTCAGTAGACTCTCCTGCGACACAACGGAAGATAAAGTTCTGATGGCATAAACAGCTGAACTCAGCTTAATTACTACTTGAATAATGTTATCATTTCAGGACAAAGTACTATCAATAATTAGTCCAAGGAATTTGACATTACAAGTGCTGTGGATTAGAGTATCACTATACTTGTATAATATATTTAAGTTTTTTAACAGATTCAATTTTGTTGCAAAGTAGACACAGTTGGTTTTACTTAAGTTTAGGATTAGTGAATTGTGTGAAAACCATTTCGTTTAAGAGTGAACCTACCAAGAAGCTCTGGTTGCTGCCTGCTTTGTGTTGGTTTCTCATTTGTCTTACTCTTCCACCTTGTAGACAGAGGCAATATATGTACCTCTGAAACATCAGTTGACTTCCACTGGACTACATGGCATTCTGTCCCAGAAGACAGAACTTGTAGCCACCTCTGTGAGAATATAAAATTATCACAGAACATTTTTTTCCTTTGTTATAGTCACAATACTGACAGCATCATTAAATAACAAACTACGAAGATATCCCTGTCTTTAATTTGTGGGGTGGGGTGAGACAGTCTGCTTGGTATGGCCTATTTGAGCAGCCAAAAATGGTGGTGGTAATGTTGATAGACAAATGTGGAGCATTTTTGGTGGGAAGAGAATCATCAGAGGAAATCAAAGTACTTTGAGGAAACCTGTCTGAGTGCTGTACAGAACTATTAGGCTTATTTTGGACTCTATCCATCGTCTGGTATATATATATAAGACAAAAAACCACAACGTTTCGGAGACCGGATCTGTCCCTGTCCTCAGGTGGATTGGGCAAGATAGATCTCAGTTGGGCTCAGAAGGAGCTAGTCTCAGTCACTGGTCCTGCCCCATCCAACTGAGGATTGAGACAGATCCAGTCTCCAAAACGTTGCCGTTTTTGTCTTGTATATATCAGAAGATGGATAGAGTCCAAAATAAGCCTAATACTTCTGTACAGCATACACCATCGTCAGAATCCTTTCAGGTCTCTCTGTCTCAGTGCTGTTTGCACACTGCAGATCCCACGTGACCTGACAGGCTGAAGCAGAGCCACCTCTGTGGGAAGCCAGCAACTAACCATCTGATCTATGGCATTGCTATCCTATAACATACAAGACACATAAAATTTGTCCTTTTTTCGTATGTAGCAGTTGTCAGACTGTTTCTCACAGTATGCACACAGCTCATTAGAACTGGCTCATGGGAAAAGTATTGCTCAAGTTCTTTTTTATGAATGGATTAAATATTAAAAAAATACTGAGAGAGAGACATGTGCCTAAGCTCGGTGCCATCCAGTCTACCCCAGTTTGCAGTCCTTCAACTTCTAAAAGTTATCATACATGGCTTCGATGTTAAGCAAGTTTGTAATATGAGTATGTGTGCAAGATATGACTCATCATTCAGATAACAATGTTTGACATCTCTGGAGATATGAGGAAAGATAATAGGAGAGAATATTAATAGATAATCCAGAGATTTTCCACTAATCAGTCAGCCTTGGTTTTTCACTCTTCAGAGATTAGCAGATGAGAGTGTTTGTTGACCCCCCTCCCCTCCCCTCCCCTCCTCATAATCATCATCAGCCGTGCCATAGCTCAGGCTGTTAGTTGCCGTCCTCCCGCCATGGCAGCCCAGGTTCAATCCCAGGTCAGGTTATGTGGGATTTGTGGTGGAGAAAGTGGCACTGGGGCAAGTTTTCTCCAGGTACTTTTGTTTCCCCTGCCAATTTTCATTCCACCAAATGCTCCATAGGCATCTACTGTCTGTGGCTGGAACAGTAGGCCAAATAGTGTCTGACATACCAAGTGGACACAATCTCATGAGATATCTGCTGGCACACTTCTGTTGGACAGTTTTCCAATTCTTAGCTTATACATGGTTTTGAGTGTGAAGTGAACTGTACTCATTTAATTGGAGAGATAGCTGCTTAAGCTTGGCTTTATGTATAAGGGTCATCCAGAAAGTAAAGACTACTAGCACAGATGCGCTTCTTGCTAACTTTGCCTGGGATGTCCCCCCCCCCAATCCACCCTACAGTCCAGACCTGGCTCCAAGCCATTTTCACTTGTTCACACACTTGAAGCAGTTTTTGGGCAGCATGCACGTGGGGATCAATGAAGAAGTGAAGAAGACAGTTAAAAGACTGGTTCAGTGGACTCTTGGCAGATTTCTATGATTCAGACATAACAGAAACTTTGTCGGCATTATGTAGAAAAATGATACAAAGTATGTAGTAATGATTTAAAACAAAATTTTGTACTTTTATTCATTTATTTTTCTAATCACCAACTGGTCTTCACTTTCTGGACAACCTACACATTTCACAATTCAAAATAATTGATAAAGCAGAATGGCATTGTCTTCTTACAGCTGCCTTTTTAGGGTTATCCAAACTTCTTGGTATTTAGGATTGATACTTAAAGTTAACAACAGAAATGTGTCTTATCAAAAGGAACTGTGCCCTGGTGAAGTATTCAATATTATAAAATGGCTCCAGAAGTTAATAGACAAAAATATCCATTGTCACCACTGCCAGACCTTACCTGAGTCATTGCCAGTTGGTCACCATCCTTGATATGGGACACAGAGTCAGGAAGTTGGCAGAAAATGATATAGTATTGTAAAGTAGTTAATTTTCCTTAATTTTTATGATTAATGTTTAATGATTGTGACGAATGAACTTGGAGTAGTAAGAAGTAAAAGGTTGTATTTCTAACAGTGTCCCTTATGGGGATCTATGAATGTATGAATGGCGATTGCTTGCTTGCTTTTACTTTTACTTACATATTTATAACTTTTAACGATGTACTCATTGACAGTGTTTTTGACAAAAGGCTCAAATTGTGATGCACATGTATAATTAAGTTGTATCTATGTAATTTATAATCTTATTACTTATTAGCGATGTACTCATTGACACCGTTCCTGCTAACAGTCTCAAATTGAAGGACATTTAACTTATATTTATGTAATTTGTATTCTTATTAATTTTTTGATTAGATTGTTATTGTGCAGAATCACTGTATTTGACTTGTTCCACATCCTATGGTGTCTACCTGTATCTGGATTTTACGGAATGTAAATAAATTGAATTGAATTAAGATCTGGTTCATATGTTGCAGTCTCAGTGAGCTGACGCTGCAGCGAATGGTGTACCCGTGGCTTCATCCACAGTCTTTATTCCAGCTGAGTTCACAGGGCAGGAAGTATAAGAAATGTGTTACATTGCTACATGACTTCACAAACAAGGTATGGGATGACACGTTAGGCAAGTGTAGGTTGCTGCTTCTCAGTTCACAATATCCCCTATCACTTAAAGTTCATTGGTGAAGGGGACTGCAGTTCCTAGCGCTCCTGGTGTCTGGTTTTGTGGCTGACACACAAATCCACCCTTCAACCCCAGTGCTCATGACAGAGTTGTACCTAAAATGTACAATGTGATCCCTTGAGAGCTTCACAGAAATCATTCAGTCAGTCAGACAGAAAAGTATGATTCTAAAGGTTTCTGATGGTCGTGTATAACACTCATTATTGCTGGATTGTTGGTCTTTGTCCATCGTCCAGTATTCTGAGAACTACAGAGATCACAAGTTTCAGAAACTGGATCTGCTCGTGTCCTGAGGTGAGGGCAGAGGCACCTATTGTATTGGGCCCCTTAGAAAGAGCTGACCTCAATGACTGGAAAACCCATGTCAGTATAACTGCAGCTAAATAAATGCCTGAGACCAGGTAAAAAGGTGGAGTTATCCCTGTTAACAGGCCATGAAGGGCTGTAGGGTTGTGAGACGAGGCTCCCACATTATCTAGACAGTCTGCTCACAGATATATGGTTGTCAGCCTTATGCGTCTCTATTAGAGGCTGAGAGCCTCCCCCAGGGCCATAGTGCGGCTGGAAGGATTAGGGCAATTGAAAAAGTGCACCTCATCGACAGTGAAACCCATGACCTTCTGCCCTGTAGCATATGCTTTGTGTATTTTCCTGTCATCTCCCTTTGAGAAAGCCTGGTCTCAGGAATTTATATAACTAGTTATACTGACATGGGTGTCCAGTGATTGAGGTTAGCACTTTTTAAGGGACCCAACAGAGTAGGTGTCTCCCACTCCTTCAAATGAGGATGGTAACAGATCCAGTTTCCAAAACACTGTGTTCTTTAGATTATGTGACAAAGTCCAAAAACCGAGCAATTCCAACTGTTACACATCATCATCCCTGATCACCAGTATTTCTAAGATAAACTGCTTCAGTCTGTTTAATCCACACATTTGGACTTGATAGACCAATATTTTATACACATTGAAATTTCTCTTCAGTATAGCCATAACGAGTTGTTGAACCACCTACTGTGATGTGAGCTCATGCCTTGTGACCCTTTTTTTTTATTCATTTACAAATATATGAAATTTTTCTTGAGGATTATGTCATTCTCTTCCTCTCAGTTTTCTTCCACATCCATGTCTTGCATAGGTATCGTACTCAAACATGAAGACTTGTTTCAGTCAGTATTACTGGACTTTTGAACTTTGTCTGTTGTCTTTAAGTCTAAAAACTAGAGAACACAACGTTTCAGGAACTGGAATACTGGACAAAGGACATACTCCAAGAACACAGTAATTATAAGTGTTATACACCATCGTCAGAACTCCTAGAATCTGCCTGTTTCAGTGTTCATCTCACATGTTACATTGCAGCACAAGAACTAATGAGGCTGATTATTTAAATACTAACAGAGGCTTTGGATTTCAGTTGGCCAGCACATAATGCATAAGTTCATGGTGCCACACACCACATGACAGTAATCTGTGCTTTCATGTATGTTCAGCCCAGCAAATGGTTGCATTTGCAGTTGTTATAGCTATGTAGTGCTGGAGGGTGTCTACACAAATGTAAGGTGAAAACAGGAATCAGATCTGATTAGTAAACTTGAAAACACACCATTACAGAATATCCTTGTGTTATTTATGGGTAAGGTGGTTACTGTTCATGATGTTAGAAATAGTAACTGTAAGGTAAAGGCCATGAAGGCTCATAGGGTTGTGACATGTCGAGGCTTCCACATTTTCTAGACAGTCGGCTCATGGATGACGGCGAGGTTGTTAGCCTTACGCACCAGCCGCCCTTAGCCCCCAGGAAGATATCTGGTGTACTCATTTCTGTTAGAGGCTGAGTCGACACCAGGACCATAGTGGGGCTGGAAGGATGAGGTTAACTGAAAAATCCAGTGATCTCATTGGGAATCGAACCTGCTACCTTCAGGCTTGTAGTATAGTATATTGTATGCATGAGAGAGAAAAATGCATTCAAGGTTGTAGTAGGAGGAACGGAAAAGAGCACTGAGAAGACCTACCTATCAATGAGAGGATAATATTAAAATGTAACTTAAGATGGAAGGATGTAGACTTGATTCATTTTGCTCAGGATAACATTCGGTGGTGGGCTGTTGTGAACATGGTCATGAACCTTCAGATTCCATATCATTGTGGGAAATTCTTGACTGACTGAGCAACTGTTAGCTTCTCAAGAAGGATTCTTATCTATTTACTTTACTATAATAGAGAATATGTTGGTGTTTTCATGACACACCGAATAGTAGAACTCGCTTCGGAGTTCTGTGTGTTCACAGGTCATCAAGGAAAGGAAGTCTCACCGTGCAACTATGAGGCCTAAGGCAGCAGAAAAGAGCATCAGTGAAGATGAGGAACTGGGTAAGAGCCAGTCAAGCGATGTTGTCACACTGTGCTACCTGCCACATAGCGATTATGTACATGCAGTTCAGTCAGTGTCATATATAAGCCTCATATATTCAGAAGCCGTCTGGCATCTGCTGTATTTCAGGTGGTTGGTTTGCTGGCTTCGCAGCTTCCTGTCTTTTCTCCCAGCTGGAGTCAGGCGTGATTTGTGGCAGACATATCTGTTTGGGGGTGGATTTTCTCCGAGTTCTTGGTTTCCCCTGCTAATTTTCTTCCTCACACCTGCTTCACATAAATTAATTATCATATTTTTGATACTATATAGTTTCAAATACTGACAGTACTGACTAACCAACCAAAAAACGTGGAACTTGCTCAGAACTCAACGAGAGCACCAAATACCCCAAAATTGTTTCTTGTTAAAACTTCCTCGAGGTAAAATCTTGAGTTACATCTTGTGATAATTTAAATTAAGCCTTTTAACCATGAACTTCACATAAGTCATATTTAAAAATTCAGCTCCCACTGCACAGAAAACAGACTTAGTCTCCATTACAGAGACAAAATAGGTTCCTGTTGTTTAGGGAAATAATCAGTGTCTTCTATGAGAATTGTAGTAAACACTTGAGTACAATATGTGGGAAAAATGTGAAATTCTAATTGGGTCACAGTTGCTTCCTTTCACATTCTTTTCAATCAATTAATTATTAATCAATCTGAGAAACTGACAACATCATTGAGTACACCATAGATAGATATGTAAGTTCGTAAATAAATATGAATTTGATTTGTTTCATTCTGGCCCGTCACACTAACAATATTATAAAAAGATAAAACAATTCCATCCAGTGTGACTGGTGAAGATTTTTCTTATTTCAATTCTTCATGCACTTACATGTTTCGATTCTTAGAGACCATCATCAGAGGGACATCGATACAGTTTGGAAACCACTATTACAGTAGGTGTTCTGTATACAATACAGACAATAAATAAATGGATACAAAATCCAGAGTTTTCACAACTACGAACAACCACAGGACGACATCAAAGAACCTTCTCAAGAAAGACAGGCGGCACAAGTTCGGCCCCATCAGGAGAGGTGATAAGAGAGAGGATACAAAGCTATTTGGTTTATAAATTCTAACTTAACTAACAAGAGTTTAAAAAATTTTAATATATCAAGACAGCCGCTGTAGTTGTGAAAATTTTGAATTTTGCATCCATTTGTGTATTGTCAGCATTATATATGTATATACTTGTGTTGCCATGGCAAAAGCTGCATTTAGGAAGAAGAAGGATCTTTTTACCAACAAATTGGACTTAAATTTGAGGAAGAAACTAGTGAAATGCTACATTTGGAACATAGCTCTGTATGGGGCTGAAACATGGACACTTAGGGCAGTAGATCAGAAACACCCGGAAAGCTTCGAAATGTAGTGTTGTAGAAGGATGGAGAAGATCAGTTGGACCGATTATGTGAGAAATGAAGAAGTGTTAATTAGAGTCAGTGAGCAGAGGAATATCCTACACGAAATAAGAAAACGGAAGGCTAATTGGATTGGCCATGTTTTATGCAGAAACTGCCTTCTAAAAGAAGTTATTGAAGGAAAGATAGAGGGGCGGATAGAAGTGACCAGAAGACGAGGAAGAAGATGTAAGAAGATGCTGGATGACCTTGGGGACAGAATAGGATATTTTCATTTGAAGGAGAAAGCTCTAGATCGCATTAAGTGGAGGAATTGTTTTGGAAGAGACTGTGGACCTGTCGTCTGACAGATTACTGATGATTATGATGATGATGATGATGATGATACTCATGTATATTTTAACACTCAGAACACCTATTGCAATAGCGGTTTCCAAACTGTATCGATGCCCCTCCGATGATGGTTTCTAAGGACTGAAACACACAAGGGCATGAAGAATTGAAATAAGGAAAATCTTCACCAGTCTCACTGGACGGAACTGTTTTATCTTTTTAAAATAAATATTCTCTCACAGGCAAGAAGAGGCGTGTCGCTTTCTTGGACATGCTGCTAGATGCGTCTGAAGGTGGAACAAAGTTAACAGATGAGGAGATAGGGGAAGAAGTTGACACATTCATGTTTGAGGTAGGTATAAAGCAGGGATCAGGAAGGCTGCAAATTGCAGCAGTTTCTGTCCTTTCAAGCCATTGACAAGGAACTGATCAAAGACTTTCAGACACCATAATGCCTAAAGGTGTTCGGTAAATAAGTTGTGTACATGTCAGAATATTAAGAATTTACTTTAAGATATGTTTGACTTTCCTTACTTAATTTTATTACTGCAAAGTTTAGTGCCTCGGCAAAGCAAGGTTAAAACTTAGTAACACAACAGGTATACATGTGCACAAAGATAGGAAACAGGAAAAAAAGATATTATTCATGGCAGTGCTGTCTCTCTGAAACCAACCTCCAAGTGTCAGCCAGGTCTGATCATATCATAAGAAGCTAACTAGGACCCAACTCATTAACCTTTAGCATTGGCGCCTGTGGGTGGGGGTCTCTAAAATGCTCCCTGGAACCTTTGCGGACTGTGGACAAAGTAAAATGGTCATAACAGACAAAACAAAATTATTTGATTGAACAGTTTGTTGTTTTAATGCTCTAGATCTCTGTTTGGGAGATGCACAGATCAGACCTCAGCTAGGATGTTTACTATCCTGTCATGTTTTTTCTCAGACTGTCTGAGAAAATGCTGAGGTAGTACATTAATGTACCTTGGCCGATTCCAAATCCCATTGTTGATGGTGTAAAGTTTAGATACTGTTAGTGTTGTAAAGAAGTTCCCGCCCTCAAGAAAAATGAAAGAAAGTAAGTTTATGTTATAATATTGGAATTCCCTTAAGTAATCTCGGCGAGTGTCATATAGTAGGAATGAAGTTAAGAAAACAGTGCAGCTAAGCAGCATGCGAGTACAAATGAACATAACACACATGAGGGCAACTGCTGTCCTCCAGCAAAAAGGCAGATCTGTTGGGTCGTTTTCTCATTGTTAATGCTGTAAGAAGGTTGGCAATTTTCAGTGGAGTCGCAGCATTTGTCGCATTCACAGACTATGTTAACTTGTACTGTACCCTAGAATCAGGCAGTTCTGCCAACAGCTGCTGGATTAGATTTCAGATAAGTGCTTTTGTTTCTCTACAGGGTCATGATACAACAAGTGCTGGGATATCCTGGACGCTGTATTTGCTGGGCCTGCATCCCGATGTGCAGGTATACAATTACTTCAGTGCCGAATTCACAGAAACAAGAACCCGAAACATTACAAGTACAGCAGACATTCAGGAGGCCGGTCGTTCACAGACGGATATTTCTGCTGTATATGTTTATAGGTGATCGTATTCCTCCTGAACAAATGCTCAGACTCTGCCACAACGTCAATATTGTATGTTCTTTATATTTTGTTATTTACAATCATTCATATGATCGGGGATTTTCTCGGAAGTGGCTACATGCACTACTGTCTCCTTGGATATAATGTGTATTGTGACAAATCATTACAGTTTTCAAGGAACCTGCTGTCTCCATCCTCACTTACCTGAAGATGGGGCCAGTAGGTTCCACCAAAATGTTGATATCACCCTACCAGACCACATGACATCACATTCCAGAGACAGTAAACTTCATAGTTACTGCTGTGAGAACCTCAAATCACACTTAGGTGTCGTTTATGTAGGATAAGGTATACCAGGAGCAGAAGAGCATCTTCCAGGGGTCAGACCGTACTGTCACCACGAAGGACCTCAGCGAAATGAAGTACCTTGAGAGGGTCATCAAAGAGTCCCTGAGATTGTACCCAAGCGTTCCTGGTATTGGAAGAACATTGAATGAAGATGTTCAGATGGGTAATATACTTTTAGATAAAATTAAGAGCAGGTTAAATTTGGGTAATGCTTGCTACCATTCAGTTCAGAATCGTCTGTCTCCTCCTCTGGCCTCTATAAACATGAATATTAAAATCCAATACTTTGCTTGGTGTTTTGTATAGTTGTGAACTTTGGTCTCTCACTTTAATTAGTCAATTATATTTTCTTGGTGCGCTCAATTTACTACTCTCATAGTGCATAGTACCTCAGCTCTGTTTACTGAGGACATGAAGTGAGATACAAGTATGAGGGGTTACCCAAAAGAAACCGAACTTATTTTTTTTTTAAACTTATTTATTCAAATTTTAAGCACAAACCTTCAATCCCCTTCAAAGTACTCTTCACTTACACTAATACACTTGTCTAGTCTTTTATTCCATTAGTCAAAACATTGTCTAAATTCATCTTTTGAGATGCTTGACAGCGCCTCCGTCGTTTTTTCCTTCACCNGCCATTGCAAAAACGACGATCACACAAAACAGTTGTCACTATAAACTCTGCCGAAACTAGTCCTTACGTTCTGAAGCAACGGTAGTCGGCTTATCGACTCAGGAATGTTAGCTCTATGCGCTCATAGCGGCAAAACGCGGTACTACAAAAGCTCTGCCCACAAAAAAAATTAGTTCAGTTTCTTTTGGATACCCCATCGTATACTGATGTTTAGAGGAAAGAACTGGCCTTTTTGCCACTTGCCCTTATTAATATTATATAAGTCGGTCAGAGGATGTACTGTGGGTTCTTCCATGCAATTCCATTTACTCCTAGGTAGTTCTGCAATTTCTAGCAGAGAATTTTTGAAGTTTAGAGGGAGGAAGTGAGAGAATTGGAAAAATTAGGCAGTGAGAACCTTAAAAATGTATGCCTTCATAGTATATTGATATTGTAACATGACTACTGAAAGCTGGAACAGTGAAACCAGTGTAGACGTTCATTGCTAGGCAACGACTCAAGCAGGTGACTGTGACACAACAGTAGAACTGCCATTTCTGTGCAAACACGCCTATATAATAATAGAGGAATTGTTAGAAAACAATGTTCTCTCTTCATGCCGCTCTGAGGGTATATAACAGGGATCTCAGGCAGCTGAAGTCTGTGTGGAGGCGGGGTTGAATACCTCCACCGTGACCCTGTGAGTTGTAGGAGGTGACAAAAGGGAAGTCTCAAATCTGAGACAGTAAAATACGGTTGCGAGTCCCAAGGGACTAGGACCTGAGAAAGACTGCGCTGGCAAGGACCAGTAGCATGTAAAAAAGACAGACCCATCCTCTCGTCAGAGAGGACGCCCCACAAAACCGAAACCATAATGTTCAACAGTAATAAATATCTGGTCATGTCAACGCCAAGACTTACTGACTTACTGACTGACTGTCAGTTGCAAAGTGACATGAACTTGGACTGAGAGGAGGATTGTGGGAGTCTCTTTTGACGCGGCAGTCGAAGATGATGGAGAAGAGAAAGTACGGCACGTCATATAGCGGTTTGTGAAGTGCAGTAACAAGCTGTATAAGTGCAATAAATCCGGCCATCAATCCGAAACCCGTCTATAAGTCACGCACTCCCCCATACATGTGGTCTAATTAAGAATATGTAGCATGTATGGGGGAGGTGAGAAAGGCATACAATATTTAAGGAGGAAATCTGAAGGGAAGAAAGGGACTTAACTGAGTATTAAGTGTTTACTAAATACATGACACACTACTAAATTTTATCGCATTCAGCCCATCTTACAGGAAAATATGTAAACATTTGGAGAAAACCAATGCATAGTGGATGTTAATCAAATATTTTATTTCCCCAGGTGAATTCACAATACCTGCCGGTTGTACAGTGCATCTCCACATATACTTCCTCCATCGGAACCCAGACCAGTTCCCCAACCCTGAGAAGTTTGACCCTGACAACTTCCTGCCAGAGAGGGTAGCAAAGAGACACCCCTATGCCTACATCCCCTTCAGTGCTGGTCCCAGGAACTGCATAGGTCAGAAGTTTGCCCTGCTTGAAGAGAAGACTGTCTTGTCCTACATACTGCGTCACTACAGACTACGTGCGCTTGAAAGCAGGGAGGACATTAAGCCAGTAGCAGATCTAGTATTGAGACCAGAAAATGGAATAAAGTTGAATATATCTCTGAGGGATGCAGGGTTGAAGTGAGTGTTGCTAGCTAGCTTTCCTCACAGAGTCTTCGTAGTTCATAGGATGTTGCACAAGCCAATCATAATTTGATTTACTTGCGCAGTGCAGTGCCCATGATTTTGAGCTTATGTTATACTCTATTCTTTCTATGGCACAAACTGCAGGGATGATCTAACATAATGTTTGTATTTTAATTTGTATAAACAGATTGTGATGAATTAAAATGAACATAAGGCATATTTTGAGTGATATGATGGGATGAACAAATAAAATGGATTGAAAAAGGAATATGGGACAAGGGAGTGAAGGAGATAAAGGTGCAAAATTTTGTAGCACGTCTGAAGAGATTTCGCAATGTAATTGTCAGTGAGGTTTCTAGGGGGCACCATAGCTGAAGCGGTTAGTCGCCGGCTTCCCACTGTGGCGTCCTGGGTTTCATCCTGGGTCTGGTCAAGTAAGATGTGTGGTGGATAAAGTGGCACTGGGGCCGGTTTTCTCCGAGCACTTGCGTTTCCCCTGCCAATCTTCATCCTACCAAATTCTCCATCATCATAACTCGGGGCAGGTACAATAAGCCAATCAGTGGCCGCCATGCCAAGTGGACACAGCTGGACTCCACCCCCCTCTAAGCAAATTAAAATTCACTCTTATTACACTCTTACTGAACAATATGATGATTATGCATATAACATTTATGTACCCACAAAACTGTTTTGAAAGGAAGAAGACTAAATATACATTTTAGAGTTTTCTCTTGTGCTATGCTACCATGTTCAGCCATGCTTTAAAATGATTCTGTGTGTTGTCGCTTTTCTGATAGAAACGTAATGTGTGAGTTCTGTTTAAAATCCTTGTCTCCAATGTCTGCTTCAAAATGGTTTATATGCCATTAAGGTGTGAAGTGTACAGAATCATCATTTACTTGGTGGACTGCCATAACAGGAGCACTCAAGACTTTAAGTTCATTGGGCGCTGCGTTCGAATCTTGGCCATGGCACCAGCTATCTGACTGAGACATCTTGTGACTTTCCTCTGTGCCAGGAAACTGTATGATGAGGCCATGATTAAGTCCAAATACTTTCCAAGACATTATTTTTCCATCATCCTGCCAAACAGTGCTACATTATGTAGATAATCATAAAATAGTCCACTCACAAAAAGCCATTTTTTGTTCTCCGATCACAGACTTAAAGCTGAAGCTGATGCCCAAACTAGTGTTACGTGAATAACGTCAGGTGACTGCTTAATGCTGCTGGACTTCTCAGTCGTGACGGAATTGGTTTTAACAAGGCGGCTGATCATTCTAGGCAACTTGCCACCAAACCAGTAGTGAGCTGTCTGTAACCTGTGTGAAATATGTGTGTACATATTTCAGAGTAATGTCGGAAGTATAATCATGCGCATAACAGTAGGGACCTCTTATCCTACATACAATGTATACATTATTCTTATCCAGTTCAGACCAACAGATGTCTCAGACATCACTAAACAATGAGGAAAGTAGTCTTCTGGGATTTTGCACTGTGTATATGTGGTGTTAACCGACGTTTCGGAGTCTGCTTTTACCGGTTCTCACGGTCTCTTTGCTTGCAGATTTCTTATATATTTTTTCTTCTACCCTGAAGATGGAGGCGATACGTTCCTCCGAAACGTCGGTTAACACCACATATACACGGTGCAAAATCCCAGAAGACTGCTTTCTTCATAGTCACCGCCGTGAAAGCCTCAAATCTTACATCACTAAACAAATTAACTGAACATGGGAGTCATTGGAGCGGTTAAGACACCCACACAGATTCTTCTGGGAGGACGGATACAAAATGTAAAATCTATAGATCTTCACTTTTTTACCTTGAAGTTGGAGACAGTACATTCCTTCAAAACATCAGTAAGCATCTAACAGTCTGTGACACCATTCCCAGAAGACAACTCAGTCTTCACAAAACTTCCTCTTTAACCATGTGGCACCTTCCCATTGGATAGCACCATGCTCAGCAGAGCCACCCATACTCCCATTGCAAAGACCTGTACATAGTGCTGCATCCTCATTTAGCCTAATTTCACTTCATTTATCCTGAAGATGAGGGTTGCAGTGTATATCGAAACAGTGATCAGCCATGACACGTGACAGAACTAAATCAAGAAAGTTTAAATTGCATAAATTAATGGAATCAGATTTCTCATGTTGAGTTTCATTATGTGTTTTGGTGTCCATATGTTGGTACAGTGTTCCACGATTTTGTGTGTGTGTGTGTGTCTCTTGCTCTCTCACGGAACACTGTGGTATATATATATACCATATAAATACACAGTAAATGATATTCCAGATATGCAGTTCTAAAACTTAATATGAATTGAGATGCCAGTAGATCCAGTAAGGCTCGACAATATAGGTTCAGACTGCATCTATTCTAACAGATTTTGTGCATGTGTTTGTGAATACTTGAGGGGCTGGAGTTTGTCAGTGTGTGCTAAAAACTATTGCCTGCTTTGTAGCAACTCAGGAGAGAATATACTTTTTGTAATTGAAAAATTAATTCTGCATATATTATGTATATTAGGAGCCTTGAGCATACTTTTCTGTGCAGAATTCCTCCTTTCTTGGGTCTGAATTGTGGTCATCCATTCTGGATCCCTTTACTGTACTGTACAAACTCTTGACTGTTTCAAGTCCCTATGTTCTTAACTGAAAAACAGCATTATGTGATGGTAATAACTGTAGACTTGTATTCAGGAGGTACAAGTGCTAGGTTTGAATCGGCTATCCTTACTAAGGTTTCTTGAGGCGTTTCTCAGTCTCTTCAGACAAATTCACTGATAACACCTTCAGTTATTCCTTGGTTTTCTCCTCCAAAATCCATGTCTCTTGGTCTGACCCTATTATTATGTTGTTATATAACAACCTCTGTGCATAAAATAGTGTTGTTATACTGTATTATATTGTATTTATTACACTTTCCTGCACACCCATTTAAGGCTGAAGCCATTGGATACAGAACCTGTCACACCACAAGCTTACTAAATCAACAGGTAGTCAACAGAACAATGCATATAAATCCACAACAATAAATTGAGTATATGAAACCCCTACACATCACTACAACTACATAACCTACCATGTATATATAATATTATAATACAACATTGGAAAATATACATGACAATAGATCAAATAACGGGTCATAGCTAAACAAGAATCTATCTCTAACTAAAATATTCATCTAAAGTGTAATAGGATTTAGTATATAAAAAGCACTTAAACCTGCTCCAAATTGCTTAATATTATGGATTAAATCTTTCATATTTAAAGGAAGATGATTAAAAAGTTTAATACCAAAATAGTAAGGTCCTCTCCGGTAAGTTGTCAAATTTGTCTGTGGGCGATAAAGGTCAAAATTAAGCCTAGTATTAAGGCCACGAATTTGTGATGTCGTATGGTATAAACCCATATTATTTGCAACAAACATCAATAAAGAAAATATATATTGGGACTGCAATGGCAAAATTCCCCAATCCCTGTATGATGTAAAAGTCGAGATGGAAGGAGCAGGTTCTGAAATGTGAGGATCAGTGAGATTATATGTCTTCTTTCCATAAGACAGTGTTTAATAAAAACCAGTATTTTGTCCTTTCTTATATGAAACCAAATGGTCATCAGTCATCACACGAGCCAATCAGTGGACCCTGTTCAAGTCACTTGAACTGATGTCTCTTCAGACTTGTTTATTTCACATCAGGTGGAAAGCTGATAGTTTCTCAGACAGTCAAGAAATATACTGATTTCATGAAATCAAATGGCTCATTACTGGGTTCACAAGAGCCCACGTTTTGACGTTATCCTAATTTTTTTCTTAAATTGCTAGTGGGGTGGGGCTAAGTCCCTTGCACTGCGGCCACTTCTGGCCTAGGCCTTATCCTAACCTGCATGAATCCTTTTTCTCTGAAGTACATTTTAATGTTTTCCCACCCACATCTTGGTCTCCAAAGTGATGTTTTCCCCTTAGGTTTTCTGGCCAAAATTTTATATGGATATTATTTTTTATGCATGCTACATGTCCCACCCGATTTAACCTGGAATTCATATACATAATATGTAATTCAGCTCCTTTCTTACAGGAAAGGCATAGCATCTCCATTACAAAGACCAGTTGGTTAACATTGTTTAATCACCTAAAGAACAAAGCTGTCAGGGAAGTAATCGCTGTTTATTTTGAGAATCTTACAGGATGTGTAACTGTACTATGTGAGCAGAATGCAAAAGTTTTTGTATGCTGAAGCAAATGCTACATATGCTAACTATTGCACTTCAGAGGTTTAATCATACAGGAAGTATAAAAATTATGAAGCCATTGTATAATTTTTTCCATGCTGCTATTACTGCCTGTCTCTCGGTCCAAAAATATTCTCAGCACCCTTTGCTCAAACATCTTCATTCTAGGTTCTGCCCCTAGATTTTGTACTAGATCTATGTGACACAACGCAAGGATTTAAAAACATACCTTTAGATGTGGCCTGTCAGAAGTGTGTTAAAGGGGCCTTTTTGTTAGTCACTTATTTTTAAAAATGTAGTTTCAGGAGGCAAAATCTTAATTCACCTAGAATACAAAGCCACACAGGCAATATGTGAAGCCGTTCCGTCTCTGTAATGGCAACTTTCACAGATTGGACTATTTTACTGACCCCATTTTGAATAGGTGTCTCATCAAGAGAGAGTGTCCTGTAAGTTCTGTCAAATGTCTCAGTCATTTCCTATGCTGCAGTGGAGGGCTCCCAAAAGAAGCCCTTCATGTGGTGGTGGTCAAGTCATGACAATTCCCCATTGCACTTTTAAGAGCCAAGATGCTGCTGATTTATGCTCTTATCTCTATCCTCTGTATCAAACATGAAGATTGGGGTAGCATGCATACATACATACATAGTTCATAGTTTCATTGATCTGTTGTCTGATCCAGACTGGATATAGAACTCATAATAAAAGGACATGATTGTGAAGAAACAATTTAGCCAACAATAATTACAAAGAAATTAAGAATGACAAAAGACACTTTAAGACCATTAGAACTACCAAATATCGTGGGTGATATTATCAATCAATCCAGAATATCATCTGGTTAAAATACCCATGATTCTTATAGCTTGTTTTCTTTGCAACTTTTGAGGCAGAGGCATCAGTTCCGTCTGTGTGTGCACATCTTGAGCTGTTTGTTGTTCAGTTCTTAATTCAAAACGTAAAGACATTGTTATGTAATGAACACGTATTTGTGAAATGATTTATAGCCATTTGTTTCAATATGGAGTTATGTCCTAGACTGTCCTTGCACTTTTATTGTTAGGAATGCACTCTGGACTGTTCATATTTGCTGTTCCTAACTTGAGAGGCCAAGTTTCACACACATACAAACATGAAGACTGTTATTAGTGTGATATACCATAAAGATTGTGTTTGTAAATTGTGTGAGATTAGAGAGTACAGTTCTTTGATGTTCCAGACATGACAGATGATGGTTTACTCATTGCTGCTATAATACCTTATCTTGAAGTTATCAGTAATGATGACTCTGCAAATCAGAAAATAGCCCTGTAACAGCAACAAAAAAAAAAGACTGCTAAGGAGATACTGCCATTTCATATAGTGATTTCAGTTGCTGCATGAACTGCCGAAAGTGAATGTAGATTGAGTGAAGGTATGCAAATAACAGAAGTGTCATGTGACATTAAGGTTCTCATAGCTTGGTGAAAAGGGAAAATTACTTTGTTTGATTTGAGAAGTAATCGGTAAGCAGCTTTGTGCCTGTTTCTTGCTGTTAGAAGCAATGTTATGTGTGTGTAAATGAGTGAGACTGTTATAGTTCTTTGTGGTTACAAGCTATACTTATTTACTCATGGAGCTGAGCCCTTCTTGAGGATCCGCCAATTCTGCAGCTACTCAAGAATTTCCCAGCATTTTATGGAACCCATAGGTTCATTACCGTGTTCACAAGAGCCCTCCACTGGTCCATATCCTGAGCCATATTAACCAATCCATGCCAACCCATCCTATCTCTCTAAGATCAATTTTAATATTGTCCACCCATTTATGTCTTGGTCTTCCCAGTGGTCCCTTTCCTTCTAGCTTTCCCACCAATATCCTATATGCATTCCTCTTCTCTCCAATTCGTGCTACATGCCCTGCCCACCTCATCCTCATTGACTTCATCATTCTAATTACACAAGTTACAAGCATTCACTAAATCCAGTTATTAGCCCAGACCTTGTATCTGGTCAGTAAAACATGGCAGTATGTTTTCTATACAAGATATTCTAGTTTAAATTAAGGAGAGATTTATGATGTAGTCTTTTAATAATTGAGGTTTTCACAGAGAAAGCTGCTGCCTCCATCATAAGGTAGAAGAGTGGTCTACCGTTTTTCTGTTCTGAACAATTCACGTTTTGATAACTTTTGTACCTTGTTTGTTCTGAAATGGTTTACACATTCACTTAATAATTGCACAGAATTTCTCACTGTAATGTTGGAGTGTGCTGTGTTTTCAAGACACTCGGTCTGAAGTCAGTTCAAACTGCAGTTTAAATGTGACTTGGACAATTGAGGTAAACATAAGGAAGTGTGTAGAAATAGTTCAATACAGGATGGGGAATTTTCTCTCAGAAGCAGAAATGGAACATTGCAGTACTTGGGCAATGATTTGTCCACACGCGTGCCACTAAAACTCAGTGAAACACATTCTATAGTAAGAACCAGAATGGTACTGAAGATTGAGGAAGACTTTTGGGAAAAATAGAGAGAATGGTGAAATCAGAAAGGGTTTGATTGCCTACACCAGGGGTCTCCAAACTTTTCGAAACGCGGGCCACATAGGTAATTCAGCACTTTAACGGGCCAGATAAAATGAGAAATTGATAACTCTAGGTATATGAGTTTTACTGAAAGCACAGAATTTCATAAAATTAATACGAAGTACATGAGAATAAACTGTCTTATATTAATGACAACAGACAGTAGCAGCAAATGCTCATATTTTCATCACAAATTATAATAAAACAATTAATGTGAATGATGAAACACTTTTTGCATTCTTAAAATCTGATTAAATTGGGGTTCAAATTTTGAAACGCTAATCACAAGTAGCGACTTTAAATGTTCATCGGATAAATTTGCCCTGTATTTCGACTTGATGTACTTCATCTGGGAAAAAGTTTGTTCACACAGATATGTCATCCCAAAAATGGAGATAAATTTACAAGCAAATTTCTTTAAATTTGGAAATTGCTCAGAGTTCAGAAATTTATAAAATTCGATCAAATTTCTTTCCCTGTATTTGTCTTTAACATAAGATAATTTTCCTGATATTCAATAATTTCCATTTGAATTTGACTTGGGACATCTGCAGCATCACAGTCAAACGGATTTTGAAACAATCTAATTTCCTGAGCACTGGCATCCAAATCAGCAAATCACTTCTGAAATTGTTCTTTCAAATCTGAAATGACTAAAATTGCAAATGAGGAAGGAAATTCTGCTTCACCCTTTTTATGCAACTGCACAGTACAGCATTTAAACAAAGTTACAAAATTTCACTTGGCTTTCCAGAAGTATCAACTTTGCTCTGAATGCCTTGATAAGTTCAAATAAATCACAGACTAAGTTATTTTCACCTTGCAACTTTAAATTCAAATGGTTCATATGGTTCACCAGATCAGCAAAAAATGCTATTTCCAAAGCCACTCGGTATCTGATAAAAGTGGTTTGTGATGGTTTTTCTCGTTAAGAAATATATCAGTTTCTTTCCTGAGCTGAAAGAAGCACGAAAGAACCTTTATCGAACTGCAGTATAGTATGTCAGGTCAATAAGCTCGGAATCTCATTCCTCGAGAAAAGACCGAAACTGGTGATGGTCAAGTGCATGACAGCGAATGAAATTAATGATAGAAATAACAGGTTTTAAAACAGAGCTGATATCAACATGTTTTGCACAGAGTGCTTGTTGGTGGATAACACAGTGAAGAAACATTGGCTTTGATATTCCTGCATCCTCACAAGCTTTTGTAATTTGGGCAACCAAACATATTCTTATACCAGGCATGTTTTTTCGTCCATCAACTGTCACGCACTGCAGACCGTTCCAGTCCAAATTATATTGTTAGTGTTTTTTGTATTTCTTTGAAGATATCATCATCTGTTGTAGTGCCATACATGCTGTGAAGGGACGCTAATTCCTGTGTGACATTAAGTTCATCGTCGACACGACAAAAGAATACTAATACTTGAGAAGTATTAATAAACATCAGTTGATATCTATGAACAAAAAAATTTTTTTTTTTACCAGTACTCATTGGAAAATTAGTTCATATGGCGCATTTCTGCACAATTCTTTTGCGGGCCGGATAAAATCAAATCACGGGCCATATGTGGCCCGCGGGCCGTAGTTTGGAGACCCTTGGCCTACACCATGAAGCAGACAAGATACACAAATCTGTGAGATTTGCTCTAGTAGGTAACCTTATGGCCTAATTTGTAATTTTGTAGCAACAGATAGAAGAACATACAGACTGCAAACTTGTGAGATTGCTGGAAGGACATTAGCTTCCTGTAGTGCAGGTTATGAAAGCTTTGTGTGAGGATTTTTAAAAATGTACAAATCTACATAATTGCAGTGTCTTTCTAGATTCAATCACACCATTGCCCTGGACTCAGGAACAGGGGAAACTCTTTGCTGTTGCCAGAAATCAAACCAGGAGTCTGTGATTTCCGAGCTGATAGTCTAGCTACTATATTGGCTGAGCTATGAAAGAAAGAAGTTATATTCAGCTCCCATTTAGTAGAAAGCAAGCATCACTATTTTCTTCCTCAACTTCATTCCTGAACGTTTTAACAGGACTGAAATTATAGCGGGAATGTGACAGCATGTAGTCTGGTAAATATTTTCTGCTTGTTTGCTGTTAGCTCTATATCTTGTCCTCCTTTTCCCATATCACTGACCACTTCTTTCTAGTGGCATACTCTTCCACCTTGATGGCAGCAGCAGGTTTCTCCCAAACAGTAAATATTTACTACACTACAGGGCATTACACCCCAGAAGACCATATTGTATGGGAATGCAGTGACCCAGAAACACAGGACTGAGTGAAATAAAATTTCATCTCTATAAAGGCATCAAAACTCAGGAGCTACATGATGATGTCAGATACTTTAGCTACTTGTACATTTTGTGTACGAGCCTCACTTGTTTCCAGCTGTGCCCCATCGCCATGGACACCTTCAGCCTGCTATTTTGTGGAGTGGTGCTTCTGCTAGGTACACTGTTCCTGTATTCCCGGACTAGTAAGCGGGAACGCTTCATAAGGATGGTAGACCAGATACCAGGACCACGATCATATCCCATCCTAGGGACAGTGTTGCCATTTTTGTTTACAAAGAGACAAGGTAAGCTGTGGGATGTTTGTGCGACATACTCTCGATTATCTGTGCACAGATAATCTGACTTGTGGCTTATCCTTGCAACATTTTAGGGGAATTCATAAGCCTCTACAGTGTATGTTAATTCCATTCAGGTCACTCATTCATCTGTCTATATACATGAAACAACTTGAGGACCACTGGATAGATTTTCATTAAATTTGTTATTGGAGAACTTTGTAAAGAATTGCCAAGCTGCTTCAATTTTAATTTAGACTGAACAGTTCTAATTAGTAGTTTACTTGAAGAACTTAATGCTTTTTTTTTTTGGGTAGGTGTACCTTAACCTAAATATTTATTATTATTTCATTTTTTAGGAATAATATTAGTAACCCAGTACTATCAAATAATACAGTAATTAGTCATTTATGAATTGGAAAAGTTGTGGGAGGAAATGATAATTGTCTAATTTAAGATACTATCATGGAATTATCTTAGAGGGACTGAGGAAAACCATGAAAAGCTTCAGTCCGGATAGTTTGTACACATCTGGAATTCAAACCCATCATCTCCAGTACAAGTCTCAAGCATTACAGTTTGAGCCAACTTTCTCTGTCTCAAGGAATAAAATTGAACACACAACCTAAAATATAATTATAATTTAGAAGAACCTACTTTGTGCTTCAGGGTTGACTTTAAACCAATGAGTAATAGCCGTTTTGAAATCATCAAATAACCAATATAAGATCTGAGTTTTTGTTTTTGTTTTGTCAGACTTGTTTAAAGTGAGCCAGAAGTTGATTAATGAGAATCTTCCACTATTTCGCGGTTGGACTGGATCAGTGGCAGACGTAAATCTTACCTGTCCTGAGGATGTGGAAGTAAGTGGATGATTGTTTGTCAATTGTAGATATTAAGATAACTTGGTAGAGAAAATGTTTCAGAATTTGTAAATTCCAGCAGCGTAACACTCTGTGTACACTAGGCCTTCTGCTAACATATATTTTCCATTGGTGTTTGAAGTTTCATATATATATATATATATTTATTCATTCATTCATTTATNTATTATCCTTATTTCTAGGCAAATTTGTTACTAAAGAATTCATCACATGTATAAAAAGAGTTTTGCAATAAAAATGTTGTCAACTGAATTTTAAAATTTTTCAAGTCATTAGACATAGATTTGATTTTTGGTGGCAAATGATTAAAGATCTTTACCCCCATGTAACATATTCCTTTTTGGAATTGTGTTAGACTAGTTTGCAGATAATGCAGATCACAGATAGATCTGGTACTACAATTATGCATTTGTGAGTTGAATGTGAATAATTCCTTATTTACTATGACAAACAGGGAAATCAACAATATATATTGAGCTTGTAGGGGGAGGATATCCAATTCTTGAAACAAACTATGGCACGATGTTCTCTTTGTTGTATTTGTTATAATCCTTATATATATATATATAAAATACATTACTGTTTATTATTTCTAGTGGGGTTTGCTGTTGGTGTGACTAATGGCATTAGGCATACATTCACCACAAATGATCATGCTGTTATTTTGTTGCTGAATGTTATTGAAATTAACAGGAGGCATATGCAGATAGAGTTCATTCAAATGTCTTGCATTATTCATGGAGACGTGAATTTAAGAAGTCATGGGCATATTTATAACCTACATAGATCTGTCATATATCTACTTTGGTTATCTTGTTGGTTTCAGAATAGACCTCTTGACATAATTTTACTGAACTGGTCTATGTGGTTGTCTTATATCCATGTTTTGAAAGGGAAATGGACCTTCTTAATCTTCATACACTAAGTCACATTCCATGACAAATATGAACTACACTTCACATATCCACATCAGAACATTGTCAGTACTTACAGAATAGCCATGAAACACTGAAACAAAGGACTGCTTACACACTCATTTTTAACCTACTACATAACTCATGTTAATATTGAATGATTTTTAGCAATGGTAACCTGAAATTGTGTAATTTCAGAGCTTTCACTCAACATTTTAAATATGTATATGCATTGAGGTTAGTTTTTGAGATGGAATTGACTACTAAAAGCCAGCCTTAAAGTAGACTATGATGATGACGACGACGTATAGAAGAATATAGATGTTATGTTTGAATCATCGTCACACATTTGTGAAATGAATTGTGTATGGATTGCAATATGATCAAAACATTCACTCTGCAATGGGCTGCTGTCACTGAGTACATAAACGCCCTCTTTCCATGTACATGGCAAAAGAGTTGAAATATACAATAATTGCCAGATGATTTTTACTTGTTCCCTTCATTTTCTTTTTGAATATATGAAGTTCAGGATCCAGTTTTCATGGAAAAATGGCTGGCCCAGCAGGGAAGTTCCCTGTATGGGCCCATGGTAGTGGATATGTGCATTGGCAAGGAGGAAAAAGGAAGGAAATATACCGAATATCAATAATAAAAATTAAAAGCATTAAAAAAGTTTTTCCTGAATATGCTGGAGTGGTCAGTAAGATAGCCTTGAATGGTTTACACATAAGTTTGTATGCAAATTATGTGGCTGCTCGCCTGCCCTTAGGAGAACTACAGACTGCACCAGTGGTATTGAATAAGATAAGTTTCCAGCCTTCAACTATAATTGCTTATGAAGAGCGCTCTGTTGTGGAATGTGATGCCATGTCATATGGTACGAGCTCATAGATGTTTCAGAGGAACATAGTGACCCTGTCTGCAGGGTGACAGCAATGCAAGAAGCAAAGGGCAAGAAGAGCACAGTCAAGAATATCTTGTGTGTGTTTGTGTTCATGCATTACTGGGGAATAGGCACATCAGCAGCTGCTTATGTGCACTGGGATAAAATTCAGAGTAGGTCACCTATTATGACACCCAGCATAACATTAATTAGAAATAGAGGTGTCACACTATGAAGTGTGTCTGGCACTTGGCAAAAAGCTCAGTAAAGCAACAGTAAACATTATGTACAGTGTATGGGCCAGGAGAAACCTTGAAACAACAATGAAGAAAAAGTATCCCAAACTGGAGAATGAAACAGAGTCAGTTAAATCAAAGTATCAACCCCTGTACCATGAAGCAATGCCACAATGTTAACAGACCATTATCTCGCAGTAATTGTTTGCTGAGGTGTTGTGTAACATTCCAGTAAGATTGAGCATATGGTGTTCTTCTTAATTGTCGCTGTGAGAATCTGAAATGTTACGTGAAAGTATTAATGTCTGTTTTCAGAGATTAGAACTCTGCCCAATCCAGATAATTGTCGCTGGCCCTTGCAACTACAGTAAGTCCTGGTTTTGGGTTCTTTTGGGACCCATGACCATATAATTGTTTGTTTGTTTGTTTTTTCTTTCCCCCAAAGACTTTTACAGTCTTTGTAATGAGACCTCTTGTTTGAAGAGAGAAAAGGTCTCACTACTGATCACTCCCCCACTTCTTGGGAGTGACTGCTGGCTCCCACATTCACACACTCCATCACTCTTACACCCACTCTGCACTATCAACTAACTTAGATTTGAACTATGATATCACAGTGCATAATTACAAGCTTGAGGGAAACTTTGAACTTTGTCACTGTTACAGGTTATTCTGAGTAGCAGCAGACATGTAGACAAGTCCTTCCTTTACGGGTTCCTTCACAGCTGGCTTGGCACCGGACTTCTCACTTCAACAGGTACATGGCCGAGGTTCACAGTACTATGAGTAGATATCCAGATATATAAAACAGATTTATTCCATGGAAAGTAACTAACACTTCTAGTCCTTAGGTTTTCATGGCTGGATCTTAATGTGTGGCTTCAGCTTTTGGAACTAAGCCCCATGGAATGTAGAGGATTTTCTAGTTTTTGAGCAAACGTCGGATTTGTCATCTTGAGGATTAATGACTTTGAGAAGGGGCTCGCTGAAATATCTTTCACCATCTCTTTCCACTGACCATGTTGGTACTCCCTATAGGTTAGTTTTCCCTCTGTTCTTCGTGATGCCTTCACCTTTAACACACTGCATAATGCAGGAGCTGTATAAGGGCTACAGAAACCCCTCCCAAATAATTTCTGAAGGGTTCTGACAGTGGTGTGCAACACTTGTAATTGCTGGGTTTTTGGACTTCTTCATCATCGTGTATTCTAAAGAACACTAAAGAGCACAATATTTTGGAAACTGGATCGGTTTCCATCCTCATGTGAAGAGATGGGATACACCTACTCTGTTGGGTCAATTAGAAAGAGCTAACCTCAATCACTGGACAACTTGCATGATAACAAGTACAGCTACATATATACGTATATGTGTACCTGAAGTCAGGAGTTGTCATTGGGAAATAAGAGGAAAGAATATTCAGAAAGTAACTTCCATTTATGCAACTATTATAGGAGTGAGGGAGAGTGTGTGCATGTGGGGGTAGATCCTATCAGATGACAGGTTGTTGGCACTGTGTGTGCAGTGTCAGTCTTCATTATAAATACTATTCTCTTGCACAGAGAAACTTTAAGTGCAGCTCGAAGGCCCTGAAGAGTCACAAAATGCAGTGATTGTAATATGTTGTTTTTTTTTTTTCATTTATTCTCTGCCGTTTTTGTTTGAAATGTACTAAATTATAGATCTCGTTTTCATGGAAAAATGACTGGCCTAGTACATATAATCTCTTTGTGGGACCATTGTGGTATGTTGATAGTTTAAACCAGGTGCTGTCACAAGTAATTGTATCCCTCCCATGCAGGTGAGAAATGGCACGCCCACAGGAAGATGATAACACCAACATTCCACTTCAGTATCCTGGACAGCTTTGTGGAAGTGTTCTCAGAGAAGAGTGAGATATTGGTCAGCAAGTTGCAGAAGGAAGTTGGATCCCAGGGCTTTGACGTGTATCCCTACATCACCAAGTGTGCCCTGGACATCATCTGCGGTAAGTAGTTGAATATTAAATTAACCAACTTTTTTCTAAATTACACATTTCTATGAACATGACATCACTGAGTAGTAACTTGAACCAAACATAACCCTTTGAGGTCAGATCTCTGCCACAGAACTACTGCTACAAGTACCAAGACTGCCCAGAGGGTAAATACAGATGGACAAAAGTTCTTGTAATGACCACAGGTATAGATCATGTGATGATGCCATCCATTTACAGAAATACTGTACTAATTGATTAACAGTGATCTGATCTCTTCAGCTGTGATGATTTTAATGTAAGGACCCCAAGACAATCTAATCAGCTTGTGGCATGTGAAGAGTTAACTTAACCATGTTAAGTTGGATCAGTTTCACCACAGTGTAGAATCTCTTCAGGTTCTGGATGGAGAAAATGACCCTATACCAGGGGTAGCTGCTAATACATTGAATAAGCAACCACAGATATCAGCAAAAGGTGGTTCTTCATCTCTGTGGAGGCAAGGGAAGAGAAGATGCTTAATAATGTCTCACTATGTAAAAGATCAGCATGTTCCAAAATTTTATACAGTGTTTTGGAGTTGGAGATGGGTGAGGAATGTAACATATATGTTAGAGAAAAAACTCATACAAAGAACCTGAAGGAAATTGACCACTTTGATGACTTAGAGATGGATAGAAGTGTTTGGCCTGGAGTCATCTGGTTCAAGATAGGGATCAGTGGTAGGCTGTTGTGAAACATGAGAGAGAGTCTTCAGTTTCCATAAAATGCTATGAATTTCTTGACTAGTCGAGCTGCTGTTTGCTTTTTGGGAGGTGCTCTGCTCCATGTGTTAATCATTACTCCATGTTCCAGTTTCTCAGGTTTAAAATAACATTTATGTAATTAGTATTCCATTTTTATCCCACGGTATCAGAAAGTTAAATATTTTTTCCCAGTTTCACCACATTTCACAGTTTCCCATTTTTACTTCTCTTCATTAACTTCACCCAAACTTACAGCCGGCCTCACCCACTTGTCTATGAGGAACAGAGTGTTAATGGAAAATCTGTTCGTCTCTGTGCTCTAGAGACTGCGATGGGGACCAAGATTTTTGCACAGGATGGCGGAAACTTGGACTATGTGACAGCCATCTATGAGTGAGTATTGAATGATGGTTTTGAACTCACATTAAGCCATATATCCCCTCCATTATTATTTATATTCCCAGAATCACTTTATCATCGCTGTAACAGCATATGTCCTATGGGTCCCCCCCCCCCCAGGGATATAGTCTCAACAAATAAAATGCTGGGACATTGTTGCCATCTGGTTGAATATTGAAGTGAATGGTGCAAGGCTGATCTTGTTACTGAATGATTGTTTATGATTTTAAATTCATAATTGAACTACAGACATTTCGCATATTCCAGAGGCTGTATCTTATGCCTCAAACCCAAGACTGAGAACTTGGCAAACTGTAAGTACTAATGTTTTCATTGTGTTAAACCTTCAAGAAAAATACTTCAAAGAATTTTAACTGTATTCAAGAAGTAGTATTGTATTACTGGACTGAAATCACCACTTGTTAAGGAAACAACAATAAGTGAATTAAGATCACACTCTCCTGGGATATGACACCATGTAGTTTGGTATGTACTATTCTTGCAGAAGAGCCTGTTTTCCCTCTCAAATGAGGAAATACTGAAAATTCAGAGGAAGTATCTACTCATGCACTCTAATGATATGAGCTTTGATGAATGCCAATTCCTTTAGGCTAAGATGAAAGTACAATTATTTCTGTGCTTAAGTAAGCATTATAATGTAACGTGTTTGCGTTACTGATCCCACTTCTGACACCAATGTAACGTGTTTGCGTTACTGATCCCACTTCTGACACCAATGTAACGTGTTTGCGTTACTGATCCCACTTCTGACACCAGTTGTCACGTGTCTTGGGTGTATAACGCGACAAATAACTTCACGATGTATTTTATCTAGCGAATTTTATTTCACATTCGCTCTTACAATCACCCAAATTACAATCTGACGATTACTGCTATCTGCAGTATCACAAATAGTACACTCCAAATGCCACAATACAACTGACTGGTTGCTGGCTAACTCGACGATAGGTCCAGGACTCGCTGACTGACTCAGTACAATTCTGTGGTAGCCACACTAGAACTCACTGACTGCCTCAGTACCGGCACTGCAGCTCACTTATATAGCCGCAGGATTGCCTGTTACGTTCCACGTCACAGTAGGAAGCAGTTCCGC